TCCTACAAAACATAACTGATTCTTATATTAGAAATGTAAGCATTTAATAAATTATGACGTTTACTTACCTTTCTTCTGTAAGGATCAGCTTCAATGTCGCAGCTCCAATGTTTTACATAAACAGAGTACATCCCTATTGTATGGAAGATGTTCACCTGGATGGCCGAACTTGCTCCACATTTAAGACTTCAAGGTAATGGCTGTTTACAGAACTCAAGAATAAGAATTGTTCTTGTAATTAACGAAAACAATATTAATCTATATTAAAGTAAGAACGGGTCAACACGGTTTAATACATACAAACCTTGCATCATGACAATCATTTTAACTCAAATTACCCAGTCATGCCTCATATTTCTTCAGCTGCTCTTTTTTATCTTCTGATTCTAGTCACAGTCGAACAGCTGCAGTTTGGAATCCACATTAACCATCTTGAACTTAATATAAGATTATAAAGAGATTTAGCATGTATTCATATATTTTTTTATGATGTAACCTTACATTTTGATCTGCTAGAATCATCTCTATTGTCTATCCAGCAGCCGCAATGTATTGCTTCTAACATGAAGAAGCTTGCTTTGATTCGCCAACCTGAAAAGACATCAAGGTATGTTAAATAAAAATGATCCACTAAAATTGGTACAAAGAATATAGTTAAGCTCTGCGTTTCTCTTTGGTAGGCTATAGAGGAAGGTCTGTTTATACCGAAACAATTAGGTTAAAATTTTGATTTTAGTGGAAAAGAATCCAGTTTCTTTCTACCCGTTGATTTTGGGAAATTCGAATGACAAATTATAGCTCATATAGAAATTAATGTTAACACATATTTTTTTATAGAAAGTTGATTTGTTTCGATATTAGTATTAGTTAATTAGCGAGATTTGTGGAAAGTCAATATATTTTGCTTGGGAGATGCATTTAGTAGTTATTGTATTAGAAATCTTTGATTTTGAATTGGATTCAGGATTTTCTGCAGATGCAGTTTATGGAATATCCGAGAAGATAACTCGTAGACTTTTCTATATGAGAAATTCTGAGGCTCATTTTTGAATATCCTGTTTTGATCTTGGAATGATTGTCCGGTTTAGAACTGGTTGCCGATTGTTTCCGAAAATTGAAGTTTCTCTCCGGTTTGATTTAAGTTACATTTTGAAAGATCCACGTGTTGTTTTTCATTGATGGGTCGGGTCAATTTCTTTAATTTAGTGTTAATTGCGGGTTAAATGGGTGTTTGGCTACAGGTTTAGGCGCTTTTTTAGTGTACTTTCTCTAGTTGTTGGGTGATAGATTTTTTTGAGTTGGGTGATAGATTTTTTTTTTAGCGATAGACTTTTCGAAATAATGACCTGGTAGAGTTTTGTGTTAGCGGTAGATTTTTGTTTTCACAACTTTGTGGTAGATTTTTGTTTGGACGGTAGATTATTTGATGGAGTGATAGACTTTTTATGTAGACTTTTTATTTTCTGGTAGACTTATTACCAATGACGGTAGACATTTTTGTGTTTGATAGACTTTTGACGTAGTTGCGATAGAGTTTTGTTGTATGATATAGTGGTAGACTTTACGTACGTGTGGTACACTTTACTTATGTTACGATAGATTTAAATTTTTTGGATAGAGTTATAGGGGGTGGATGTTCATGGTGGTAGATTTTTAGGCAAAATGGATACATTTACCTCAGTTTAGTACACTAACCTCGAAGAGGCGGTAGAATTATGGAAGGGTAAGAGATGTAGCGGTAGATTTATAACATGAAGTATACTGTTGATAGTTTGAAGGAAAAGTCATAAGAAATTATTCATAAATGATGGTAGACTAATTAGTGTTGAAATTGTCATTAATTCGCATTTTACTGGCATTTACTCCTTATAGTGCATTTTACTGGCATTTACTCCTTATAGTGCATTAATTCGCCATTTACTCCCTGCTTATATGAATTATTATCGAATTAAGTCTGAACATGAAACTTTTTATTTTGATTTGTGTTGGATTCAATTTGGATTTATGAAAGAATGTATTTTGCTTCAAAATGCTTGGTCATATGAAATTATGTAGGTTTTGCTTTGACTATGTATTTGGTTTGCAGCAAAAATCTAATTAACTTTGGTTTGCTTGGTATGTTTTTGGTCCGATTTGAGAATTTTAAGGGAAAGTGAAAAACAACGTCGTTTCAGTTGGACATCGAACTAACGGGGTTAAACAAAGTTTATGATTAAAATAAAAAGTCAAACAAAATAGAGCTTTAATACTTTAAAGAGAGAGTCCGTGATTTATTTGGCCTAAATTTGAAAGTTTAGGATTATTTTGATATTTTTCCCAATTGCAAATCGAGAACTTCGTCTACGACGGCCACGACGTCTGCGCCTCCGTCGTCGTAATCGATCTGGTTAAATCGCGATGGAGCAACTAATTCTGGTATGTGGGAAATGGAGTTTCTATCGGAATAGTTGGTTCTTCTTAGTAGACAAATCTAAGGGAGGCAGAGTAGTTGGTGCTGGTCGGAAAACCTCTTTCATGCAGTTAATGAGAATGGTGTGCGAGGAATTCGGTTTGGATCTGAATAAGGAGGAGGTTCAGTTGAGTTATTTGCTGCCGAAGAAGGTTCTGGATAGTTTGCCCGCCGACACACCTCCTGTTTTCATATGCAACTCCACACAATTTTTGGCGTATCTGCAGCAAATTAAGACGGAAACGACCCGTCTATGCGTTGAGATTCAAACAAAATCAAC